AATATTGACTAATAAATATATTGATTATTGACTATTAAATTAAAAATATCAAATATAAATTTCTGATAAGGTTTGGTTTTGTGATGATATAAATCCCAATAAGAATATAAAACTAAAATTTATATTAATATATTCATTCTTTTCTCTTATAATATTATTTATATTAGAAGTTATTTATAAGAAAAAAAAATGTAATAATTGATTCTAATATTAAATAATTTACATAATTGACTTATTATTAGAATAAACTGATCTATTCAAACAAAATTTAATTAATTATAAAATTAATAAAAAAGAAAACGATAATAATACATGAATATATTTTATTAAAAATGTTATATATTTAATATTTTAAATTAGATTTTTATATAATTATAATTAAAAATAACCTATTTTTTTTTTTCTAAATAATTGTAAATATAAATAATTTAATAATTAATTATTAATATTAAAAAAAAAGGCTAAATTATATATATTTATACAAAAATTTAAAAATTGAACTATATATAATAAATATTAGTAGTAAATAATTAAAATGTGTTTATTATAACTATAAAATCAAAAAAAGGAAAAAAAAGTTACAACTGAAAATTAAATATCACCTTGTTAATACTATATACACTGATTTACACTACCACAAAACAGAATATATTCTTTTACTTGTAAAGGTATCTAGAAATTATTGAATATTAGTAATAAATTTATATGATTGGTAATAATAAATTATTCAACAATATCATAAGAATATATATTTACTTCTTTTACTTTTATATAATTGCCTTAATTTATATAACTAATTATTAGCTGATTGTAAATTTTCTAGTTCAGCTTCTTTCTGAGAAATTTCATTCTTGAGACTTTCCTCTTGATTGAATAAGTCTGTAAGAATATCTAGTAAAATCTTACAAATTTCCTCCATTAAGGGCGATTGAGGTGGATTACACAAACTCTCCCACTTCTCTAAATTTGCTTGTATTAATGTACTTACTGTACTAAGTTGACTCTGTAATTGTTCGAGAGTTTGTTGACATTGTAAGATAGGGTCATCATCTGCACCAGGATTTTGATTAGCAGCTGTTAACTTCAATAGAGAATTCCTTTGGATATCTATGGATATTTTATCTAAATTTGTACTATATAAAAAGTAAAAAAATAACACTAATAGACAATAAAATATTACTTTCATAAGTTGTCACAATAATACTAGAAGTAATCAATTACTTATATAAGGAAAAAGTTCTTATTTAAAGAAAATAATTTTGATTTAATGACTAATTTAATGAGAATACTAATATCAAAATGAGATAGATAGTAGACTTAGACACAATAATTGTAATAATTTGTTAAGTATAATTAATTTGATACATGTTTGAACCTTTTTTGAATTTTGATAAATATAGAAAATAATAATTTCGAATTTTTGTTCACAAATTGAATAGATAATATTAATTAAAAAAAAAGGGAGAGTTAATTAA